TTCGATTCTCAAGAAGTTCTTCTAAACAATTAGAAACAATAGAATCAAAGTTTGGGAAAAATTTATTGGCGAATAACTCGTGTCTGGAAGGATATATTTTTAGATGTTTCCAAGAGAACACACACACATGATGATACCAGTACCCATCACACTTGGGCCTTGGCCTAGCACCATAGTTCCATACGACATATCGAGTAAGCATCTCGGGGCTTTCTTGGTTGTTTGGTCCCCCGGGAGCATTTGGAAGTCTGGCTAATGTCTGAGTGAAGCTTTCGTCTGGGACGTAGGTATCGTTCAACCAGTTAAACCAATCTTTGGATATTTTAGAATTCTGTAGGAAGAATACAAACTGACGAGTCAAAGCAACGAACAAACTTCCTTTGCGAATACGCCTTATAGCTGTTGGGCGTGGATCAGATTTAAAAACCCACGTATTCCATATCGACTTGTCATCTTCCACATAAACAAATTTTGCTCTCAATTCATTAACTTGTGCAGATGTTTGTATATCGTTTTTACCACCATATAATTGAAGAATTCTCACGATTTCTAGATTTGTCTTCAACGGGAAATCCTGACCGCAAACATTTAAATAATACTTCCAGGATTTGTGTTTCAATAACAACTCCTTTTGGCAGACAAGTTCGGCTCTTACAATGTTCATTGATCCCCATTTGATTGGAAAAAAAGTAGGAGCTAAGACGATATTGTCGAAACACCTAGTTATTGATGATTATGTTCTTAAACTCACTAGAAGAATTTTCGTATATGAATACAATACACGTTATGATATCTATAAATAATTCTCAGTAACTGTTCAACTTGATAAACAGACTGGTAAATATAAATTCCAAATGCTAGAGGAAAATCGAGTTCTTCGTCAGTAACTGGTTTAGAGTAGTACCCTCTACTGTGGGCAAAGTTTGTACAGTTTTCAGTCATGTATTTGTAGTCTGAATCGTTGCGAATTCTGGATGCAAGTGTCTTAGCAATTGATGTAACTACTTTGCGATTTTCAACTTTACCATTGACCAAGTTCGCGCAATTGATGGTATCCATATCATTGTTGAGAGTCCTAGCGTAACTTGTTCTTTCTCTATTACCTTGTACTGTTATGGTGTTATTCAATACAACTACCGGCCCTGTGCCTGTGCGTGATGGCTGTGATATTTTGTGAATTGCTATCGAAACATTAGTTGCAGGTTTTCGATTTGGCGGTTCGGATATCCAGTTCCTATCATAACTGTATTCTCTCATATCATGCTTTGTTATATTTTGACGCAGACGGATATCATAAGATAGACGGTAGACAACTGTTAGTGGTAGCAGTAGCAAAACTACCCCGAACACCCGTTGTCTTGTGAAGCGTCGTGAAAAACAACCCATGTCTATATATCCACTGTTCCTAAAAAAACAATCAGTTGATGAGTAGTCCTATTAGTGAAAGTAGAATGTATCGTTGCTGTACACCGTAAATTAAGACTTACCTAGGTGTGAAGTATTATTTTTACTTGGCGTTTGCATGAAACATAAAAGTGTCAATACAAATGTTATTAAAATTGTTGCATATGTGATACAGGATGATACATTTAATATTTAGTTTGAAACATGTGTATTGGTCAACCAAATGAAATGTCTGGAATATTGACATGTGTACTAGGGACAGGAAATCCGCGATGCAAGGTGTGTATTCAGTAGATTGTATAAGTAGACTGTAGAACACACGCGCCGAAGACTACCTGCTTCGTTTTTCTTTCACTGTATTACGGTCATGAATTAACTTTTCTATGTTTTTATTATGAACTATGTGATATATATAATTATGTAATGCAAGCAACAACCCCATATCTTGTCAACATATTTTAACAAATAACCGGCTAATATATTCTGATTTAATATTATAATAGGTTGCAGTCTTTGCTGTACATAATGTGAGACCGATAAAATTGAACTCACAGTGTCGCCATTTTGAAAATGCATGATTTACTGACGTCAATACAATAACTAGACAAAAATGCTTTTGTATTCGTCTCTAATGCAGCGTATGCCAGATGCGCTGTATCAGTTGTCAATGCAAATATACTCTGCAAATTAAACTGTAATATAATGGTGGCAAACCGTAATATAATGGTGGTAACGTCGTGTAAACACACTAAACTGTGTATAGGCATCAAAACATGTCAGCTTTTTGAAACCAACTCACCTGTTTCTGTTATTACAGTTATTGTCTGTTCATGGTATGCCTGTAGAAATATACACACCAAGCTGCTACTAGCACACATATATAATCAACAAAATAGTTCATCAATCAGGCGTTAGTTAAATTTATGACATATGATTTCCGCTATGATTCATGGCGCAGCATTGCATTGGTTAGCTTCGACAAAAGCCAGTAATTTAACCACCATTGATTGGAAACAATGTTGACGAAGTAAATCGTGAAATATCCAGTAGAATTTTCGAATTTGCGAGTAACGACTATTTAGATGTTGTATCATTTTTATCAAGCCAATAGCTGCTGCATATTGCAGTCAGCATGTGCGTGATATCAGTCGACGATATCCCTAGGTAATTAACTGATGTGTCTGGCGCCAGATGGCTCGATTTCAAACCCGTTATATTCATATTATATGTGAGTATAAAATATGTATATATTCGATCAATATGTCATTTCTTTGTTAATATTTGGTGAGACGACATGGATTACAATGGACTTTTAATACATAATCACACAATTAATATATCGAATTAATAATGTTAAAATGAATGATTGATCTAAGCCTCATTGACGTCTTCCTCTTCCCTCGAAACAGTTAAAAATAGATTGTTATTATTTTAATGACAATTATTACATAAATATACAGATATATACGTAGGTAATAAAAACAAACTGAGCAATTTCTGTTCGATATATCTATACTAACTCTATTCTAATAACTCTCCATATCATTATACTGTCTCCAGTAATCCAAACAAGCTGGTTGAACTGTCGCCATCATTGATACTATGTAATAACTCCAGTAATCCGATTGTTTCGAGCAAGCTGGTTGAACCATCAACATCGTAGAAGTCAATGTCAAAATACGTTAATGGTTTATTAGGATTCATATTAATTTGAATATTTCTGGTAATTTCAGGTACTGGGTAGAAAACGTCTATGCCATAACCGTACCAGGTCAAGTCAATGTAAAAGTGCATGGTGATGGCAGGACGAAGATTAAAATCCACATGTACATAAAGTAAATCTACGGTCCACGAAAATGTGTTGCAAGGTGCATACATTAATACACAGCGACTGATTTCCAAAGGTACTCATGGCCGAGATCTCAGTGAGAGGAAGTTACATGACTTGTTTTGTGTCCCATGAATCGTATCCCATTCTCTAACGCCAACCTTCCAATGCTCCAAATCCCATGATCATATCGGTTATATCTGTATATTGTATGTTTGTGATTCATTTGAACTATGTTTTCACTCCGTTTGAATACGATGGCGTGTGGCTGCAACAGAATATTCCAACTAACTGAATATGTGATGAAGGACTTCGTATTGATTCGTATTGATTTTAATTTTGATGATGCTGTTTACTTTGAGACAAAGTCTATACTATTCTGGTTTAAAAAACTCGAGAAACAATGTCATAATTTGCTTTCCATGCCGGGTAATCTATTTTTGTTCTGGTGGCAAGCTGCGTTTCCGTGCTTTCATATGGAAATTGGACCAAATGACAAATTACAAATCACTCACACGTTATACATAAAAATAGTTTATATTGCAAAGCAACACAGTTCTTCTACTCCATTCAACCAAAATTTTTAGTAAATGAAAAATCACAATATAGTGTTTTACGGTTGAGGGGCTATATTTATATTACACATCTTGATTTGATACTGCTCAAAATGAAGTTGAACTTGTAAGTCAAACTTCCAGATTAACTTGTCATTGTCAATGGCATTGATCTTGTATTGTAATGGGTTGACTTGATCTTTCTGAAATGATATTTCAAAAAGAAACATAATTTCAAACATATGAAATCAACTATCATGATTTTCTTCCAAAATTGGTTAAGTGTGTCAGAAAAAAACACAGTAAAAGTAGGACACATACAAAAAAATATCACATCAATCTGCACATAAATCCATAAGAAAATGAACATGCATTGTTTCCATCAGAAATGTATAACTATCCCAAGTTTCATCCTTTCCTATGTACCTTGGTATAACGGACACCTTATAATGAATATCCTTATATATCGAATACATTGTCTCTTGCTCAAAGCAAACACTTAAACTTATTTTCTTCTTCATTATAGTGAACACTACACATTATCATTGCAGTGCATTTAATTAATTAATTGTACCCAATATTAACATACTTTCAAGAATTTGACAAGTGTGATGTAAACCTATTAAACTCACGCATAATGCCATTAGCATATTTTCTCTATTAGAAGCATGATAGAAAACAAACATATTACCTATTTATGCTTCTAGTAGAGAAAATATTGCAGAATATTATAATGACTGTTCCACAACAATTGCCTATTTATTATTTAGACATTGTAAATTCAACTCTAGATGTGGCCATGATTAGTGTGAAAGATGTACATGTATGACATATATCTACACGACAGCATAACCTTGTATGCCTTTGGTATTGTGAAAACGAAAG